GAGGATAGATGGCAGCAGAGAGAGCACGTGTGTCACCTCCTGCCCTTCCCTGGACGGGTCCCCCTGCAGCTGCCCGAGCGGGCTCTCCCGCCAGGCCGCCTGGAGAAGCCCACGCCATCATGGGTGTCTTCAGTGTTAGGGTCCAGAAGGCCATCTCGCCCCGTGGCTCCTTCCTGGGACCTGGCCTGGAGCTCCTTCCGACCACACTGCACAACTGGTGGCGATGTGTCTCAGCTGAGCCGCTCAGGGGTCTGTATCCCTCCAGAGACTCTGGTTTCTTTGCCTGAGAGATGCAATCCATCATTTGTTTATTGAAACATGTGTTCAACCCTGTTGTGTCCCAGACCCACTTTATTTCCTCCCCCCCCCCCCCCCCCCCCAGCCACCTCTTTTACAGATGAGGAAATATAACCTCCGGGAGGTGAAAACCGGATCCTAAGAGTCTATGTGAGTCCAGGAAGCTCACTATCCAGTTAGGGAAACAGGCAGGGAGCAAACCACACAGATGCGACGTGTGCAGGGTTCTCAGGGACTGAGGAAGCCAGAGAGACTGAATCTGCTGGGGGCAGTGTGGGGGCAGGGACCCAGATCTTTGGGGTGAGTGGAAGGCAGGGCGGGCAGCGGTGACAGCCCGAGTGGAGGCATGGTGACGTGACCCTCCAGTGCGGCCCAACATGACCCAGGAAAGGCAGTGGGACCAACAGGCAGACAGGGTTCCTAATCTTGTCTGCAGTCCTGGGGTGCACGGATACCCTAAAGGGGCCCACAACCCCCCCGAGGTTGTATCATCATCGTGACTCTGTGGGTCTTATTTTCCGGAGAGACACACTTTGTTTTCATCAGGTTTTTAAGCTGGGACACAGGCTCCGAAAAGCATGGGATAGCCAAGGAGCTTGGAGAGATGAGCAGGGCCAGGGAGTGAAGCGCTCCAGACGCTGCATGTCTAACACGCTCCCAGGCAGGGCGGCGATGTTGGACCACGTCAGGATGAACAGAGACAGAGAAAACCCCCAACTTCCTGCCCACGTCCTACTCTATCTGGCCCTCGCCCAGCAATCCCACGCCATCTCCAGCCCCTGCTCCCTCTCCTGGCACCGGCCCTCGGCCCTCGTTCTGTTCCTGGAGCTGCGAGGCGGCTCCTGCCCCAGGGCCTTTGGGCGTGGTGTTCCCGTTGCCCAGAACGCCCCTTTCGGAGAGCTCAGCGTGGCTCGCTGCTTTTCTTTATTCAGGTCTTAGTTCCATGATCCAAGAGCACTTCTCAGACCGCTTCATCGAACGAAGCACCTTATCTCCAGGGAACTTGCTGTCACTATTTGCTTTTCCCCCTTCATGGTACTTCCCGTGTTGACTTGTTAACCTTCTGTCTCCGCTCTCGTGTTGGTTACCATGACGAAGGACCTGGTATCCTTCACGCTGGGCCTATCCATCCCAGAGCCTGGTACGTAGGCACCCTTTTCATGTTTGTGAAGCATGAAATGTGAACACCAACATGCTTGCATGGCTACTGTGGTGTTGAGACACATGCAGGGGAGTCTGCCCTGGGAAAATGTAGAGCCGTGATACTGGAGGTGCCGGAGGCAGAGGGGAGGGAGGAGGGAAGGAGCCCACTTTCTGTGCCGAAGAAAGTCCTAAGAACCTGGAGCTGGAGTGGAAGCTAAGAATCAACACACAATAGATGAATTCATTTAACTGGAAGAGTCTCACTCTGGAAGGTGGGAAGGAAAGGAACGAACATTAGTTCAATGAAGTAAGGCAGCATTTTTCAACCGCTGTTCCGCGGCACACTAGTGTGCCGCGAGATGTTGCCTGGTGTGCTGTAGGTGCAGACAAGACAAGAATTTTATAATTTTTCACTATTTTGTTTACTTAATATTTCATAATAAAGTAATTATAAAATACTTTCTTTGTGTTTATTTGATTCCTATTCAAGAGAATTACTTTATATATAGTCAATATAGGCACAGAGTTAAATTTTTTAACATTTTCTAATGGTGGTGTGCCTCATGATTTTTTTTCATGAAACAAGTGTGCCTTTGCCCAAAAAAGGTTGAAAAACACTGAAGTAAGGTATGTGGAACAGTGCCTGGCGCATAGTAGGTATTTATCAAATAAATAAAAAGAAATAGGTTAACTCTTAGGTTGTGACCATCACTTTGCATAATCGTCTCTATTCATCCTCAGACATTACGCTCCCACTTGCCCATGAGGAGAGGGGCTGAGCTTGGAAGACTTGTCCAAGCTCAGACAGTGGCTCAGGGACAGAGCTGAGCGTCCCAGTCCCTCAGACAGCTCTGTTGAAAGTTGCAGTCACTGCATTGCCTGTCCCTTTTCCCCACAGCACCTGTCACCACCTAACATCCCGCATATTCTATTTATTTGTTTATGTTCTGTCTTCTCATTCCAGAATATAAATCCCTGGTTCTGTTCAATACTCTTTCTCAGAGCTCAGAACACAGAGGCCTGCCGCAAAAGCAGACACTTAAATAATGTTAAAAGGATGAAGGAACGATTTTTTCAAAAATACCTTTGCTTTCTGCATTTCTAGGACAGTGGTCGGCAAACTCACTAGCCAACAGAGCCAAATATCAACAGTACAACCATTGAAATTTCTGCTGAGAGCCACATTTTTTAAACTTAAACTTCTTCTAACACCACGTCTTCAAAATAGACTCGCCCAGGCCTTGGTATTTTGTGGAAGAGCCACACTCAAGGGGCCAAAGAGCCGCATGTGGCTCCCGAGCCGCAATTTGCCAACCACGGCCCTAGGAGGCAGTTCTGTAAATGTGTGGCTGAAGGGAAACCCAAACCCAGCTGAAGTAAGACTGTGTCCCCAGCAGAGGTGGGTGTGGCATGGAGCCTGGCGGGAGAGCGGCCAGGGAGCTGGGGTCTGTCCAGTCTCCAGTGCTGACACCACTGCCATGGTGGCATTGTAGGTGTGGACTCCACAGGCCGGCAGTTGTCCTCCCACATAAAGTGGCCTTGGGGGGGAGATGTGTTGACCAGGCCCCCTGTGGCAATTGCAAGCTTGATGCACACACATGAACTGGCACTTAATCAGGACATCTCCTGTGAATTGAGTTAGAGTGAATCAGTCGCTCGAGCTTGGCAGCTCTGGCTATTGAACACATGAAGGTTCCAGACCAGCCAGGCTGCTCTAAGGACCTTCCTACCCGGCCCCTCACTGTGCCAAGGCTTCTTACCGTTCCTCCCCCAGACCTGCAGCATTAGTATTGCTTGAGCCCTTGTTAGAACACAAACTCTCCAGCCTCGTCCTCAATGGACTGGGGGGAGCTCTGCGGCCTGGGTCTGTAGTGAGGGAGCCCTGTGGAAGATTTGATCCACTGCCAAGTTTGAGAACCGCTGCCAAGCAGTTTTTCTTTCAGGGCAGTGACTACTCTGCTGCATGAGGGTGGGGTGGGGTTAAGGGAACAGTCAGGATTGCGGGGGGAGGGAAAGCGAGCTTCATATTATAGATACAGCACATAGAGTCCTGCGACAAATTGAGTGCTGATTGGATTCGTTATTCTTGTGAGAAGGGTCAGGATTTGGGGAGGAACTGGGAAGGAAGACCCTTGCGTTTCAGAAAATGTCCAGAGGAGGGGTTCGTGTGCAAAAGCACATTTTAAAGTTATCATGGTTTTGTTTTACAGTCCCAATGTTTTTTTTTGTTTTTTTTTCAAAATTGCAAATTATATTGAAGGAAGGGGCACTGCAAACTGTCAGCCAGTACTGACTATATTTTATGTACTAGTTTTGGTGGAAATAGAATGCTGAGACCCTACTTCCTGGCCAATCCTATTGGGGGGGGGGGGGAGGAAGAAAAGAAAAAAAAAAAAAAGAAAGAAAGAAAGAAAGAAAGAAAGAAAGAAAGAAAAAAAGAAAAAAAAAAGGATGCAGACAGAGGAAACCTATTAAACTGGCCCCAAAGATAGGAGAAACAAACTTAGGAAATGGGTTGCATAACTTCATGGAGCTCCTCCAGTGTGCCAGGCACTGTATTTGGCTCTCTGAGAGGATACGAAGATAAGGTAGCCAGCTGCTTGGGCGGCCAAGGAGCTTACAAGAGAGAATATTCAGAGGACAGAGATTTCCTCTGGTTGGCAGATGTTGGATGCGTAGGACCTTTGACCAGCGTCTTGTTTTTTTTTTTTTTTTTTTTTTTTAGTTTAGCCAGCTAAACGGAGCACATTCGAAGTGGTAGGCACTCCGGAGGGGTGAGGGAGGGGATGGGATGGGGTTTGAATGCTGGAGGCACGGAAAGGCACCCGTCCAGTAGCAGTACTGTGCCCGTGCCCGCTGCTTCATGGGAAGCCTGGGAGACAGGTACGGTTATCACCCCTGCTTTACTGATGCGGAAACTCAGACACGGGGAAGAGAGCTCACTTTGCCCAAAGTCACACAGCCAGGCTGCACTGGAGACCGAATCTGAAAGCAGGCATTGGCTCTAGCTCCCAAGGGCAGGACAGACAAATCAATGTGCCGCCCCAAGCGTCTGGGCTGTGGGCTGGTTTGGGGGTGGCAGAGGGATGCGACGCCTATTTGGGCGGGTGAAAAGGGTCCAGAAGAAAGCCCTTCCTCTTTCCTTTCTCCATGCCTGAGCATTTATTTCCTTTGGCATGGAGGCAATCCAGAGTCCAGTTCTTGACGAACCTGCTACAGGACAAGCACTTTAGGCCCCTTCCCACTAGATGGCGGCCCCTAAAGCCCACATAGAAATTCTGGAACCTCCACCACGGTCCCCATCTTTTAGGTTTTGGCCGCGGCTGAGGAATGGCAGGATGCAAAACCTCCTCGGTTTCAAGGGGCACCCGGCCCCTGCCCCGCCCCATCCGGGGGTCGCGGGAAGCCCCTGGACTGGAGGCCGGCGCGGGGGACAGGGATGGGCGGGGAGACGAGGCTCCCAGGCTCTGGGCGCCCGGGGGAGGAGGAGCCAGCGCGGAGCCACTCCCGGGACACAGAGCAGGTCGCTCCCCGCAGCGCCTGCATCCACGGCGGAGGGACCACCCGGCTCCGGGCGTAGAGCTCGCCGCGGGCGGACGGGTTCCTTCCGGAGGCGCCTGCGAGAGGCAGGTGCGCGGCGCGGACTACAAGTCCCAGCATGCCCCGCCGCCCTGACCCGGCCCCTGCTGCCACTTAAAGGCTCCGGGAGCCGCAGCCGTCGGGTCGCCGCGGCTTTCGCTTTGCCGCCGCCGCCGCTGCAGGGCGGGCGGGAGCAGCCGGCTCCGTCGCCGGCTCTACTCGCGTCCCTTCTCCGGCTGCGCCAAGGGGCGCTCCTCGTGCAACCCTCCCGGCTCGGGGATCCCCTTCCGCGCCCGCGCCCCCCGGGTCCCCCGCCTCAGCCACCCCGCGGCCCCGATGCCGAGGCATGGATAGAGCGGCGCGGCGCGCGGCGGCGATGGGGGAGAAGAAGGAGGGCGGCGGCGCGGGGGACGCGGCGGCCGCCGAGGGGGGCGCCGGAGCCGCGGCCAGCCGGGCGCTGCAGCAGTGCGGGCAGCTCCAGAAGCTCATCGACATCTCCATCGGCAGCCTGCGCGGGCTGCGCACCAAGTGCGCCGTGTCCAACGACCTCACCCAGCAGGAGATCCGGACCCTGGAGGTAACGCGGCCGCGGCGCGGGGCGGGGATTCGGGGACCCGGGCTGGGCCCGAGAAGGCGGGGGTCAGCGGCCCCGGGAGCGGCCCCCCATACTCCCCTTCCTCCCTCTCCGTGCTCCTAGTCACTCCTTTCCTTGGTTGCATCCTTGAACCCGGGTCGCCTGGTTTGAGGCTTCCTCTCCTTCCTCCATTCGGTGATGCGGCAGGTTGAGGACCCCAGACCAGCCAGCCCCTCACCTTGGGCGCGGGCATTGAGGAGGGAGGGCGGAGTGGGAACTGGGGTGGAGGCTCGGGGAGCCGGTGGGTGGGGTGGGCTGCGCGGACACCCCCTGCCTCCTCACCTCCGCCCCCTACCCCATTTGCAGCTTGCAGGGCCGCGGGACTCATCCTCCCACGGAGTCACACGCTGGACTTTTCCCTGTGTGACTGAGCCCGGCAGCCGTGGGCTGGGGTGACGGGTGACGGGGCCGGGGGTGGGGTTGGGGGTGTCCCCCTGAAGTGTGAGCAGAGCCCCGGGCTCTGTCATCTCGTCTCTTCCTTCCCTCTCCTCCAGGTTCTTGGGTGCCGCCTTTCAAAAAAGTGTTTGCTGAAACTGCATTTTCTTCTCTTCAGGCATTTGGTACTTTCCACAGCTCAGAGTGTAATTACCCACCGGCTCCCCCCCAAATCCTGGATTTTGGTTTAGGGAAGGATTATGCTGGGGAACAAGCCTCTGGCGAGAAGATGACACTGTGTAAGGGCCTCTGGTGGAGACAGCCTCCCGTGTAAAGAAGAAATAAGATATGCCTGCCCTCCTCTCACATGATAGCTGGGAAGTGCAGTATTCAAAGGATCTGGAAGAAGGGTTGCCGGGTTCTCAGAAGGGGGAGTCATACACAATAGAGGGAAACGGGTGTATCCCCACTTGCTTTTGTCCAGAGGCAGTGGAATCCAGAGACCAGTGAATAGCTAACTCGACTGGAAGAAGGAGCTCCACCTTGCATTGCCACATCTGGCCTTCTGCAGATCTGGGGATGTTTTGTTTTATTAGAATCTTAATTTCTCATCCACTCCCCCCCCTTCCCCACCCTGCCCCTTATTGCTCATTGCCTCCGCCAGCTGTCATAGGGCCAGCGGTGATTTGTTGTAATTATTACAAGACCCAATCCTCTGTGCACACCATAAACCGGAATCCCTGTTTGATCCAGAAATGCTCGGCGGTGACTTCCCTCCTTCAGCTTTATTTTCTTAAAAGCTATAAAACCAGGGATGTCAGAAGCACGCACACGCACTCAGTGCTGGCTATTAGAATTTTTGGTACAGTTGCTATTGCAGCACTGACCAGGGTTTTGTTTAAAAAAACAAACAAACAACCAACCAACCAACCGACAACACCCCACACAACTGTCCCTTCTGCGGGCTTGCTGCTGTTTTCCGAGTGGTGTGGGCTGCTGGTTTGTGTTTTTGCCCAGGAAAGTTCAGTTTTTAAACCGGCACAATAGGGGACCCATGTGGCTTAGTCCCGGGAGGGGAGGGGTCCTTGCCCAGCAGCCTGTGCTGTTGGGATGGGAGAATGTTCTCTGCGCTGGCCTCTCTCGGATTGTCTTCCTGTCGTTCTGAAGTGCTCCCGGTTCACAGAGTGGATCCTGGAGAGCCATTCGCTGTCTGTTCTCTGGAAATGGCGCTCTGCCTTCATGGTACCCTGACTTCCAGGGTCACTCGTTTTAACCGAGGTGTGGCATCGGGACACCCCCAGAGCAGCCAGCTGTTTGGGTCTCTGAGCTGGTTTACTCAGTGGCCTTCCTCCTGAGTGTTTTTTGGATGGTCCATTCAGGCGGCCAGAAACCCATCCTAAGGCCCGAAAAGGGATTTGCAGGGTGAACTGGAACCGATACCCAGCTCTCCGTCCTCTCCATGGTCTTATGGATTCAGGTCCACACTTCTCCATGGAAAGGCAGGACTCAGGCTGTTTTGGGGTGTGGGGATTTAGACCCCCAGCAGCTAGTTTGGTGGAATCACTTCGCCCAAAGGCCTCACCTTCACCTAAACAGGGAGGCCAGGCCGGGTCTCAGTGCCCTCCTGTGTTTTAAGGAAGGGGCCCCAGTGGGGTTGAGTCAGCGTTTGTTATTCAAACCCCTGTTTAAGAATATCCCTGTTTAATAAACAAAAGACCAAACTCAGATATAGACAACAGAACGGTGGATGCCAGAGAAGAAGGGGGTGGGGGTTGGGGTGAGGTCAAAGAGGGCAAGAGGGGGTCAAATACAAGGTGACACTTGGGTAGTGAGCACGTAATATGCAGATTATAAAGTACACCTGAAATTTATGTTTTTAACCAATAAATATTACCCCATTATATTTAATTAAAATAAAAGACTAACAAGAAAAAACCCAAAACAAAAAAAGATTATTTTCTGCTTAAAGATGGTTCTAAAGTCCAGATTTACTAAACTGATGAAATAGAGGGCAAGTTTATGACTCTGAGAACCCTGACAGGGGCAGTGTGGCCAGGGGAAGAGTCCGTGGCTTCAGTGGCCAGTCTGAGCTCTGTTTGTGTGACCTTGGGCAAGTCCCACGACTTCTGACTCTCAGGCTTCCTTATCTGCAAAATGGGCACCAGACTGCTGAAAGCCGCAGTGTTGTGAGTCTGTAAGTCCACACTCTTTCTACTGGGAGATTCTGTTTATAGACTTTTCCCAGTGCGGGCCCAGTGGCATTCAAACCACAGTTCCCCTTTAAGGGAAGCTACTTCTTCTTCTTTTTAAATATTTTATTGATTTTTTTTTTTTACAGAGAGGAAGAGAGAGGATAGAGAGTTAGAAACATCGATGAGAGAGAGTCATCGATCAGCTGCCTCTTGCACCACTCCTACTGGGGATGTGCCCGCAACCAAGGTACATACCCTTGACGGGAATCGAACCCGGGACCTTTCAGTCCGCAGGCCGATGCTCTATCCACTGAGCCAAACCGGTCTCGGTGGGAATCTACTTCTATAACCGGCTCTTACGTCCCAGCGGTGGCAGTTGACACAGGCTAGGAAACCCTCCCCGTAGCCTGAGGTGAGTCCCATAGGACCGTGGTGATGTCCACCCTGGTTTTCTTTCCTGCTCCGCAGTCCCCCTCATACCAGAGACAGTGCTTGCAACACTGGATTCCTGGCTTTTGGAAAAGGGCCTGACTGGAAGTTGGCTTTCACAACCGCACCAGACTTCTCCCGGAATCTTAGGAACTCCGGCCCATCCTGGCCCTCACTAAATGAGCGCTCCAAGGGAGAAACAGCGAGTGCGATGGCCTTGGGGGTCCCTGATGCCGGCCGGCTGGGCCTAGCTGCTGCCGCCTGAGGTTGCAGACCGTGCTGGTGTGTGGGGGTCCGTGTGTCTGGGACTACTGTCTCCGTATAGTGTCCAGTTTGGGTCCGAAAGAGTGGAAGGAAGCAAGGTTTAATGTTTGCCTCCTACCTGCCAGCCGGTGCGCTGAATCCTTCTCCGTCTGATGAGATTTCTTGTAATTCCACTAATGCTTGTCACACACAGTTTTCCTCTACGTGAGGAGGGGCGGGAGAAGGAAGCTGAACCCAGAGCCTGACTCTGTAAACAGCGGTTGTGAGGCCGCTTCAGCCCAGGGAGCCTGTGTCCCATCTCCAGCAGACCCTCCTCAGGGTCTGAAGGACCCGCCGAGGCAGGATAGAGTGTTTTCATCCCTCAGATGGGCTCGCAGAGAGCCTGCCAGCCGGCCTGCCAGCGAGGCCTGGAGCCCGCACCGGTTCATTCCCTCATGTATTCCTCCTGTCTGGGCCGAGTCTGGGCTGGGCGCTGGAGACACAGTGGCAAGCTATGGAGATGCATGCTTTGTGGACACTGCGAACGTTGCGCTTTCCTGCCAGCCTACCAGTCCTTCCCGGAGACAGGCCTCGCACATGGAGTCTCCCCACCTGTGCTCTTCTGGAGAAAAATCCCCCCTAAGTAGGCTGGCTGACCTGGAGAAAGGGCCCCCAGAGGGCCTTTCCCATTGGCTTTGCTGTTGAGGGGACGTCGGGGAGCTGGCCGCTTCCCCGGGGGCCCTGCTGCTACTGGAAGGATCAGGGAGGCCTGACCTTCACTCAGCTCTGCTGTGGCCGAGGTCAGACCCCTGCTGCGCGGAGGGCCGAGCTCTTCCTGCGGCCCCTCCCCCTGTTCCCCAATCGTCCGGAAAGGGAAAGGGATGCCAACTGTCCCCACAGATCAGGGCCTTGGGGCAGTCATGTGATGTATTCGCTCTACAAACCTTCAGTTATTTCTGATTTGCCTGCTGAGCTCCTAGCGACAGCTACCCTGGCAAGGATTCCGAGGTAGGTAGGATGCTCTCCAGGTCTTTGGGGGACACTTTTCAGTCTAATGGGGGAGCCAGCAGGCAAACAGTAGCACCTCCAGTGCCCTGGCTTGCCAAGAGTGCTTAGGAATTGGGAATGTGACTGAACGGTTGGCCAGACGGATCTCCTGGTGTGTTTTTTAGAGAGAGTGGAAAGGATGGGAGAGACAGAGAGAGAGAGAGAGAGAGAAACATTGATGTGAGGGAGACACATCGATTGGCTGCCTCCCACATGCGTCCTGACCAGGGCCAGGGATCGAGCTTGCAAACGAGGCATGTGCCCTTGACCGGAATCAAACCCAGGACCCGTCATGCTGCAGGCCGATGATGCTCTACCCACTGAGCCAAACCGACCAGGGCGTGACCTCCCGGTTTTAATGAGGAATATTTCCAGTCTTGATGGTGACTTGTCCCAAGTCCCAGTTCCCTGGCAGAACTGAGAGCGAAACCTGGTTTCCCTTTCCCCACCCAGCCACTGCTTGGAGTACGGCCTTTCTCTGCTTCCGCGCCATCCCCGTAGTTGTAACTGCCCGCTGGAGGTTTTAACTCCTGCAATCCCCGAAGAGGTGCAGAGCTGGGCGCTGTCCCCTTTGGTGTCAGCTTTCGCCTTGGCAACTTTTTCCTCGATGAAACTTGCCACCAGCATACCTTGGAGGTTGCCTGGCAAGGGACCTGC